ATCTAACATGTCTTTTATGGATAACTGATACTACTTTCTTCATCTTTTGATAGAAGTTGCCTGAACTGTCTGCCATCACGCTCTTTTACGAGTACCTTCATCAATTGCTTAAATTGTCATCGTTTGTAAAATAGGAACTTCTTTGGGGAATGGTATATAGGGTGTCACATTTTAAATGATCCACGCATATATCTTTTTGGGGAAGACGGCTAACAAAAAATGACCTCAGCAAAAGTTGTTGGGTTTCGAGGGGGAAATAAGATGGTGTTATGAATTTAACCTTGAATACATGCTTGAAGATTACGTGAAGGTCATCTTCAATTTTTTAAATAAAATCCCTATGGTTTAATATACTAACTTATTCTACCAATTAATATGAACTTTTGTCTGAAACATTGTTTATTTGCTTAATACTTTTTGAGATATTCAAGAGAAAATTTATAACTTTTTCAATATTTAGCTTATGATATCTCAATAACTCTTTGTCGGAGGGAAAAGTAGTAGGACTTTTTTACTTGATTTAGTCTCCGAATTTTGCTGTCGCAATAGTATTCCAATTATTAAAAATTTTTGTGTAATGTAACATATATAAAATTTACATAGGCCCAAGCAGTATCTCGTAAACGAAATATTTTCATCAAACAGATACACGCTGTTGGGGGCCAGCGGATGTGGCAAGACAACCCTGTTGTCCTGTATCGTCGGATTACGTTATCTCGACAGTGGAGAGATGTGGGTCTTGGGGGGATCTCCGGGCAGTGTGGGCTGCGGAATTCCAGGGCCTCGGGTGGGTTATATGCCGCAGGATACATCTTTAGTCGAACTGTTTTCTACGAGCAATGCTCTTTATTACTTCGGCAGGATCAATGGGCTTGACGATAAGGAGATCGGTAAGATACCAAATAGGTACATGGGATAAGAAAATTTGTAGTTGTTGCGCGCAAAATATCATGTAAATTCTGACAAGTTTTACTTTTACTTTTAAGTAAGTCTTTCAAGCGGTTCTAATTTTGTCTTGCTCGAAAGATATTCTACTATGTCAATTTTAAACAACCCCAGTTTATCCATGTTATTTCCAAGAAACGAGACATAGGTTTTTCTCGGAATTGTTCCAACTGCCTCCAGCAAATCAGTTGGTGAAGAACATGAGTGGAGGTCAACGAAGAAAGGTTTCCTTTGTCGTCGCATTGATGCATAAGCCCGAACTTCTAATTCTCGATGAACCCACCGTAGGTTTGGACCCAATTTTGAGAGAAAAGCAAGTAGAATTGGCTCCTTTTTAGACGTGATAAGCACAAAATATTAAGAAAATGTTTGGACGTTCTTTTTTACAGCATTTGGGCTTATCTGATCAAACTAACACAGGAGGAAGGCACCACCGTATTGATGACGACGCATTATATCGAAGAGGTTAAAAAAGCTAATACAGTGAGTCGCCATTAGATTTGTCTTAATAATATTTACGACTGTATTTAAAAAATAGCGAAACTTCGTTTTAAAGAAAGCGCCAAAAATTTTGGAGAAATGTTTTTATGGCCTGGTTTACATCATGCACTTGATATGAAATAGAGTACTTGAACTGATCGGCCAATGCGTGAACCAGTTTACTAGTTGTTACTATTTGTTATTCATATTAAGTGCACAATGTAAACTGGGCTAATTTTAATGCTATACTTAGCATTATTACGTTAACTCTTCCCTGTAGTGAATTAAAATTCTTATTGTAAAACATATTACCTCAGCCAGGATTCGAAACTGGGACCTCCCTCAATCCGGCACGCAGGACAGGGTAGAAAAAGACGGTATATGAATTCACTTACAAGTAACACTACCCAACTGATACTCACCGATTTGAATGGAACTTAACATAGTTATTAAACATCGAAAAATATTAAATACGTGTTTTTTTGTTTCGGCTAAATACGCTTTTTAGGGGTAGAAAGCACCCCTCAACCCCTGGAGGTGGAAACGGTTATGGCTAATTATTTCTGAAACGATACATTTTCTGAAAAAAGTGTTTAGGACCAAGATTGTAGAATTCAAAATGATGCACTTGATGGCGACCTTGAAGTCGACCTTGAGGTCGATTTTCAAGGTCATTTGAAAATCATTTCATGTTTTTCAAAGGGAGTAATTTACTTTTTATCCCGGGAATCGATAGAGCGTAAAATTTTACATTCAGAACAATTTTAAATTGCAGAAGCTTGTTTTATTTACAAATCACCAACGTTCTGAATGTAAAATTTTACGCTCTATCGATTCTCGGGATGAAAAGTAAATTACTCCCTTTGAAAAACATGAAATGATTTTCAAATGACCTTGAAAAT